ATCCCACAAACTCTAAACGCCCCCCACTGTGTCTGTGCTACAAGTGCTGGGATGCAATGAGCAGGCCGGACAGGGCGCTGCCCTCATGCAGCTTGTGGGAAAGGACGGCAACAAGGGCCCATCCAGGACATAGGCCTTTTTTATTTATTTATTTATTTCATTTTATTTTTTTATTTTTTCGAAACAGAGTCTCACTATGTTGCCCTTGGTAGAGTGCCGTGGCATCACAGCTCAGACAACCTCCAACTCCTGGGCTCAAGCGAGTCTCCTGCCTCAGCCTCCCAAGCAGCTGGGACCACAGGCGCCCGCCACAACGCCTGGCCATTTTTTTTGGTTGCAGCCATTGTTGTTTGGCGGGCCCGGGCTGGGGATTCGAACCCGCCACCTTAGGTGTATGTGGCTGGCGCCTTAGCCACTTGAGCCACAAGCGCCAAGCCATAGGCCCTTTTCCTTACAAGAACCTTGACTGTGTTCTTAGAACCCAGGGCAGTTAATTTTTTTTTTTTTAATGGAGCACGTGGCTCTTGCCCCTTATTTGTACTTGAAATTGCAGTTCAGAGAAGTTAAATGACTAGATCAAGGTCACTGACCAGAGAATCTCAGAGATAGGATGAGAATCCAAGTTTCCTGACTCCAGGGTTTTCCCACTTCACCATGACCCACCATCACACCGGCAGCCTGGGCCCTATGTGCCAGCTCTGAGCTCAGCACCCTACATGACTGGCTCGTGTGATCCTCACCCCCAGCCTATAAGATAAAGACTACTGTCATTCCCACTGGACATCTGAGGAAGCTGAGGCACAGAGATAGGCAGTAACTTGCCAAGGTAGAGCTTGGATTTTAACAACCAGGCAGCCTGACCTCCTCTTGCTTCTCATTCTTGGTCCCTGATTATTCCTTAGAAAGGATAGAGAGGTTGGACATGACAAACATCAGCGAGCCAGTTCCCTCTCTGGGCCTCAGTTTCCCTATGTATAAGATGAGAGAGTGGTATGGCAATTTGAGGGGCCACCTGCCTCTGGGGACCTTTCCAGCTCTGACACCTGTTCCCACTGGGTTCCAGTGTGCCACTGATGCTACTCCTATTCTTAGCTGTTGACACCCCCTGATGTGATCAGAGATAGGTGTTCTTTTGATAGGAGGAATTATTATATTCTTGTAGGGACTTTATCCCTCAACACTTCTGGGTAAAATCCGCTAAGGTTTTGGCTAACAGCATTTGTTTTGAGTGCCCAGCTCTGCCACTTACCAGCTTAGGTAAGTTATTTCACCTCTTGGAGCCTGAGTTTGCTCATCTGTGAGAGTGTGAGTTACTGGAGTGCCTACATTAGAGGACGGCTGCAAGGATGAAATGAGACAGTGATTGAGAGGGGCCAGGTAAGGTCACCCACATCTGACAGGTACTTAATATGCGGTGCTTATTTTCAAGAGAAATTTAAAAGGCAATGCTGGTTTGGATGTTGCCTAGGAGAAAGCTCCCTGGGAGGACATGAAGCACCAGGCAATGATATAAGATAGGTCATTTTAAATCCACTCAGATATTCTGTAAGAGCCACGCTCAAGCTTACTCACAGCAAGCAGGGGTGAAATGAGGTGTCCTAGGTGCCCGAGG